AGAGCTTTCTTTCAGAGGAAGAATGTTCTCTGATTCCTAGTGCCATGCCAAATGGTACATCTCAAACTTGCCTCCATGGACTTTTCTTCATGGATGTTTTTGTTTATAATTTTAGATGCTGCTGAGCACTTGAGGGGTTCATGCTTGCAAATAACACTCCCTTCGTTGGACTGATTTTTAAAATGAGGTTAGGTTCTGGAAAAGTGTCTATCAATTGAATGGATGATTATTTTTTCTTTCCTACCAGTCTTCCTTTGCATGTGCTCCATTTGAAACTTAAAATATCACACCTCCCTCGCAGTTGGAAAACTACCTGAGCCTCTCTGTCTGGGGCTGCTTTTCCTGCCACCTTCCAATCCACCTTGGAAATTAAGATTCTGCAATTGCAAATTGGCTGACAATTTGGTTGCTGAAGCAGGAGGCAGATGGTGCTGAGGACAGGAGACGATCCAACTCTCCCTTCCATTCCAGGCTTGGCTCGGAAGGGCCTACTAGCAGAGAATCCTGGTTTGACAGCCGATTGTTGATCTGTCTCAGGGAAAGAGCAGTTAACTGTGCTACATCTGCAGCAGGCTTCGACCTTTGAAAAGGGAGGAGAAGTTGTCCAAGCCCATGACTCAGAAACCTTTCCATTTTAAAAACTCAAGAATAAACAGATAGCTTTGATGATTTTCATTAGAGAAATACTTCTATTTTGTCTCTATAAATACTGCTAGGAAATCATGATGGAAATAGTGGATGAATATCCACTTTATTTTGATGTAGAAAAACACATAAAAGCTCTTTCTCAAATTATGAAACTGTTCAAATAGAGTTCTTTTTAGGAAGGTGAGACCCAGCGTCTAATTCTTGGCAACCACATAACCTCTTTGAATCTATGGCACCAGTCCAAAAGCAAGAACCTTATGATGTGGGCCGCAGAGAAAATGGAATCTCTGGAGACTTATATTTCTGCCTTCCCTGAGTTAAGTTGGCCGATGGGGCCAATTAATTGAGCATAAAGTTTCAAGAGCGCTAAGAATGAATGACAAGTAGCTTCAGTATTTACACCTGCCAGAGACACACTGTTACTGGCCCTCTTTCTCCAGAAGCTTCGGCAGGTCCTTGTGGAGACAGTTGCTGAGCTGTAGAGCCAGTGAATGTGTTGCAAGTTATCCCTTTTGACTACCCTAGGATCATCTCCTAGGACCCCTCATCCCTTTGTCTCCACTGCCTCTGAGCATCTGCCGTGAATCAGAGCAACCATCGACTTGAAATGACACTGCAAACATTTCAATTCTTAGAGACAACAGGGCCCCCTTTCTGTTCCTTTCAAAGAAAGGCTCCCAAAGTTCAGGTTAACTGTTAACAAGCTGCCCTTCCACACTGATCCACTAGATGTCCTCATAGTTCCACTCAGAACGATGAGATCCCTGGGAAAACTGTTCCTCTGAGGATTGGGATTTGGGAAGTCAACAAAGGTCACTACCTAAGAAAGAACCTCAAGGAACACCAAAGAAGAAAGGGCACTTTGTGTCACCAGGAAGTAGATAAGAAACTTATTTGTGTTTTAAATAAAAACTGAAACATTTCAAGTTCCTCTTTGAATTCTAACCTCGCGAGTCCATGGCTCTTTGATATACGAAAGTAACCTTCTAGCCCAAATTGGCTCTAGAAGAGGAAACAATCACTGAGAAATGGAAATAAAGTACTGTTGGTTCTGAATGTCCGTGACTGACAGAAGCAGAACTGAGAGATTGAGTAGTGTGGGGTGGCGGAGAGGGAGAGGGAGAGAGGTGAGGGAGGATGGGATGATGGGGAGGCAATTTCCAGATCAGGAGATCCACAACACGATTCTGATATAAATTTATTTGTACAACTTGAGAGTGTAATGTTTCACAAGGAGTGTCCACATCTTCTGGAACATCTACTACCAGTGAGATAAATCCTGATCAGTGTTTGGTTAAAGAGCTTGTTCCTGACTTAGATAACAGCCCAGAGGAAGTCTCTTCCTGGCTGGTATACGCAGCCTTCAAGCCTGCTGGATCGCTTCACCAGATGGAAGGTCACAGTGGGCCTTACCTTGTAAGAAAGTGGACCCAGAGTGTACAGGTAAAGACACCTGGCAGGAGATCAATGAAAATGGACTCTTCAAGAAGTAGAGAAAAGGAGCCACTCCCTGATTTGGTGGCCCTTGGTCTAGAGATGTTGTGACTCATGAAGGTTTGTCCACATGTGGGGCTCAATCATTTTTAACTGTTTCTGTCTTGTCTTTGAGCCTCTCGTTAATCATTCTTGCTGTTTTTTTTTCTGTGTGTGTGTGTGTGTATGTGTGTGTGTGTGTGTGTGTGTGTGTGTGGTGCTTGTTTGTTTTTTGAGGCTTCTATTTTGCATTTGGTGTGAGTGTAAAAAACAACTAGGAAGGAATGACAAGTAATAGCATGTTTGCTTTTTTTATGCATATGCTGCTTTGGAATGTGACTGATTATAATTAACAGTTAATCTTCTTATAGCAAATGGTTTTTTGCTGCTTCGATTACCAGTTTCAGCCTGTTCCTGCATGCTAACAATATAAAGTTTTACAACAATGCATGGTCTTCAGGACAGCGGATAATGTCAATTGCAATCAGTCCCTGAGAACCACTGGTATGATGTTATTGTACCTCCTGAACCCTTATGATGTAAGGGGTTTAAATCACCCATTTTGAGGGGTTACCTCTGACAAAATAGTTTCAAAAGTTATTCCATCTCCATGATCCCATCCCTTGTTCTTAAAGATGGCATATATATATAAATAAATGTATATATTTATATATATATTCTATCCCCATAAATTTGTCAGACTCTATTATTGTACATGAACCCAAAATGGCAGTGTGGAAATGAAAACCAGGGACTGTTGCTAACGAGAAGCAAAGCATTTCTGAGTTGGATGGGCTTCTCTTCTGCTACAGCATTTGATTAAAGTTTTCTCTTCACAACAATTTATTTACAGTGAAACAACAACCAAAATCATCCTCGTTTTTCTCCTCTGGGTAAATAACAAATCAATATTTCCATTGAAAGAACTAAGAAAGAAAAAGCAAGACATTGGATCTCCAAGTCATATACCAGATCTGGATGCATTTCCAACGAATTTCTTTTTATGTCTTCAGTTGAAGACGACCCCCCTTTCTTGACTTCAGCCACTGCTGTTTTGTGGGGACCTATGGGCATTCATGCCATTGCTTTTTAAATTCCTCGGACTCAAATGCTATAGTGGAGTTTTTTTTGTTTGTTTGTTTGTTTTTTTTGGTGAAAGCTAAGCTCAAAGGAATGATATACTGTGCATTGAACAGGGCTGGGGCTGCATGATGATCTGAACAACAGACTAGTTAGGCTGCTAAAAGAACATGTCACTAAAAATGTGAGCCAAGTTTACAGCGATGGAGATGCTGCTGAAGAGATCTCTCATTCATCTCCCCCAGTGCCTGCTCTTCACAATCATAACGTTCCCCATGCTTGACAAATATACTGTATGGCAAGTCATAAAGGTCTTAGAACAGGACTTGACCCATTTGAGAGATTTAAACCCCTTTCCTGGTGACTGTAACATTGAAAGAGGGCAAAACCACAAGTCATATTTTAAAATGAGAGGGTAACTATTCTCTACAAAGAAAAAGAAAAAAGAGGGAAGAATGACTTTCCAAATGGAAGCTGTGAGTGCAGGGAATAACACCTCTTTGGTTCAGGTTCACTGTTTGGCTGTGATGCTGAGAATAAATATGAATTATTCTCCCACCCTGAGAGAGAAGCTGACCAGCTCATGCTAAGTGATGGACAAACATGTTTGCCTGTTGTTGCATCAAAATGAGGTACAAAAAAATTCCTCTTGTACTGAAATATAAATTGGCTTGAAAGGTAAAGGTGAAAGGCATTGGATACTACTATGCAGCAACCTTTGTAGGTCAGGATTTGGGGTGGGTCCCCATTTAGTACAGAACCTAGCACATTTGCTTTAGAAGAGCTGTCACTGGGGCACGCAAATATTAATAAGATATTTCATGAGGGATCCATTTTCTTATTTCATGTTTTGTCATTTTTTTAGTCTATTTTGGCCAATATTTTCTGTATAAGGGGGAAGAAAGGTCTCATTAACCAAAAGTCTGATTGCTTTTTTAACTTATGGTGGGTGGGGAGAAAAGGACGGATGCCATTGTCAGATTCAACTTTGAACAGAAAATACGGCCATGAGTAGCTAAATGCATTCCAGTAGATCAACAACTCATACACTCTTGGTGATTTCTTATTTGCAAACTTCCTTTAATGTCAAATATTCAGTGTTAGCCTTGAGTAGCTGCATTTCTTATATGGACAGATTTGGATGTTTGTTCTGTCAAGAGTGAATTTAAATTCCTGTAGCTATCATGTAAACTCAGTCCTGGGAAGTTCAGCCAAGGCACCCACAGATTCTGTATTAACACATAATTGTTTCACATCTAATTTGAGGAAAGCATGTCCCAAACTCTGCCTAATGCCCAGAAGTAGATGGAAACTAGAAAGCTACATATCAGATATGTCCACACCTTGCAAAAACTATTTATTTTGCCAAATAAGCAATTAATGTCATTGATTGGCTTTGTTTCTCTTTTATCCACCCTGTATTAATTGTGCCAGGGGGAAGAGGTTGGTTACTTCTCTTTTTTTAACTGTCAATAATTTGTTTTTCTCTCCATCCAAGAACCTGATTGTATTCAGCTATGCCCTTTTCCTGCGGTCACCACTCTATGGAGGGTGGGAAATAATATGCAACAGCCTTGGAAGAGGATAAAGGCCATTTATATTTTCTTTGCTTCTTTTTTTGATGTACAACCAAACTGTTACCAGCAATCACTCTGCATTTTTTTCCCTGGGTCAAGACTGTTAATGTGAACTAAGACCTGTGTTAAATCCCTCCAGCACCCTTCCAGCTGCCCTGCTGTGTGTGACCTTGCCATTAACTGCCGCTCTTCCTCTCCTCCCATCTGACCTCATGGTTATAGCCAAGATGTCCATCTACAAGAGAATGAGACGGGCATGTTGTTTTGATTGCGGACGTTCTGAGCGTGACTGCTCGTGCATGTCAGGCCGTGTGCGTGGTAACGTGGACACCCTTGAGAGAGCCTTCCCACTTTCTTCTGTCTCTGTTAATGATTGCTCCACCAGTTTCCCTGCCTGTAAGTTTAACCTCAACATGTGCTGTTCCATGTTTGTGTTGTCTGTGGGATCATCCTTGTCTTGTGTTGTGCCCTGTGGTCTGTGAGTCCATCTGGCTGGCGTCTCCTTCCCAATGTTGTCTTCTGTGGTGACATGTTGCCCCCACTGCCTGTGTCTCTGTATACGTGCTGAGGAGGGCCTCCCTTCTAATTTCATTCGCTCACTGCTTCTTGCAATGGTGTGCAAGACTAGGACATACCAGTCTGCTGATTTTCTACCTTTCTCTCACTTCAATAAATGGAAATGAAAATTAAAGTAACAGCACATCAAATGTTATATTAATGCTGAGATGTGCAAAACTGTGTATCTTGATATTTTGGAAATGGCTATAAATTGGGTTGGATCAAAGAGAGGGAGGAAAAAGGTGTAGAGAGAAAAAGCTGGATCTAGCATGAAGTTGCTTTTAGTGAGTTAATTTCCAAAATGAACAGAGTTTATATGAAGATGAATGTATCTAAAAGAGTACCCTTTTATATTTTTTTCTGTGCTTCTCTAACCTGAATCTCATTCCTTCAGTGCCAGATTTTGTTCTATGTTCTGGAACAGAGTATTTTAAATCTGCCAGTTTCCATAGGCTGGTGGATTCTAGAGCTTCGCTTCAGAAAGATGACTAATTCAAAAGATCATTTCTCTTTTCTGTTTCCAACAGTATATCCCCACTTAACTAAGGTTATCTTGTAGCAGTCCTGAATACAAATTGCAAGAAAACCTAAGTCATGAACCACCATGGTTGCTCTAAGTCCATAGCTCAGGCCTTTGTTGCTCCTGACCTTGGAGACATTAAATAACTTGTCACTCATGCAGATGGTAACTGGCAAGGCCTTGAGGAGCCAGATTCCTTGGCCCACACTTATCTTCATCTTCACCACAGAATTTGCTATTTTCTCAGCATAGAAAGAATCACTTTTGTAGGTGATGGTGTGAAACGCTCCAGTTTGAGATGCTGGGATGTACAGAAAAGGTTGTGTTCTGATTGGGCGGCATAGTTACCCTTAAAGTATGACCATTACTTTGATCTTGCATTTTTGGTAGAACATGAAGTAGGAGACAATTCTTCTTTCTGCGCATTATCCCTTTCCTTCCTCTTTAAAGGACCAACACATTTATTGGTGACCATATCGCCATCCGTCCTCTCCCCTCCCAAGTGTCCAGAGCTTTTTGACTTTTCACCAGCAGGAGTTGGTTCTCACCCACCACAAGGAGGAGGAAGAGCACTCAGCTCTTGAACATTTATTTTCATGAAAAATGAACTCCATTCATCTGTGCTGGCTGGGAATGAAGGCGGTCCCAGCACAGTGCACTCTTGTGATGGTCATCAGTGTGGGCTTCCAGGGTGTCGTCACTGTGTACCAGAGTGGTGAGCAATGCCTGGTGTTGATGTTTGAACCTGAAGTTCAAGTCTGAGGTGTGAGCTGTACTGTAAAGCTGGATTGGATGCATTTGGAAAAGAAGTTTGATGTAGGACTAGAGAATCATACTCTCTGACTCATGATTCATTGCTTCACCAGAACAGAACCAAGGGAAAAGATCCATTTAAGAGAGATACTTAATGGAAATTGCATTAGAGAGAATATGGACTGCCACATTGGCCTAAAATCTTGGAAGAGAAGTTTCCTTTGAGCTTCTTACTCATGTCATAGCCGCAGTCTTTATCCTTTATTTTCGCTGCAACAAACTCATCTAGTACATATGCCACAACCCAGATGATCTAGGTCATAGCTGCACACAAAACTTGTTTTTCTATGACATGTGGTGGTATACCAGGTTCAAAGAGGAGCTGGGGAAACACCGGGGTGTGGTGGCAGGCGATGGGCCATATCTCTGTGAGTAGTGAAGAGGGATGTAGTTGCCAGCCACTTCTGCCTAAGGCACAACTTCAGTTTATCCGTAGGCTCAAAAACCTTAGGTACAGATTCCATGGATGAAAGGAAGGAGCCACCATGCTTCTGAGCTAAGGCCTGTGGTCATGACTTGACTCTGGCCAGCCATACCAGTCACAACTGTCTGCATCCCTGTTCAAGGCCCGTGACACTCCGCATAAGTAATTTTTATTTTATACAAGAGAAGCCATCATTAGAGGGATTTCTTAGCTCTGCAATTTAATCCAAGCATTGTTGAAGGCCAGGAGAAAGACAACTTGGGGTGGGATTGTCTCAACATCTCAGAAACATTCTGGTGCAGGATTTTGTTTCTTTTCTGTGCTTCTAGTGTCAGCCTCACCGTGGGAGATGTGGCACTTGGCGCTGGGTGTTGAAGCCTTAACTAATATCGACGGCTCAGGCGCTGTTGGCCGTCTCCATTTCATTCGCCTTGCTCCCCCATCATCACTTCATCAGAAAAGCAAATTTCGCCCGTCTCTGTGTGAAACCACTCACCTTTGACCACTCCTAATAAGTTAGAAAAATCCATTCCAATTTGAGCCCCTTCACATGACCGCATAAACCCTTTTTTTCCAATTAAAAAGCAAAAGCAAAAGAAAAACCATCCCCCCTCTTCCACTGCGGAAGCCCATTGGCAGAGCTCCATAGCAGTCCCTGGGTGTCCCTTGCTGGTGGCAGGGCTTGGTGGTACCCATTTGACAGAGCGAGTTGACTCAAAGAGTAGTGGTGGGAGTGGGCTTTTCATTAAATATGAGCAGATGTGAAACACAGAGGGTCTGACAATTAGAAATGGCAGGAGAAGGGCCGTGGAATCAAAGCGAGGTCAGACGGGTGGATCAGATTACTTCTCTTACATTCTTTAGTTGTTCTGAAAATCATTTTGAATTAGTGTCAACAGAGCCATGATGGGTTTTGCCCTTTGTCTTTTATGCTGGGGCTGTATTCTTTCCCAAGACACTCATTAAAGGTCATTATACTATTACAGAGCTTGCTTTGGTCGCAGATTCCCGGTTCACCAGTGTGCTGTGGAGAAGGCCTGATTCATTTCTCACTTGCCGTTCCTCCCCTTCTCTGTTATTTGTTGCTTTTTTTTTCCTAAAGGGAAAGATTTCCATTTTTCAAGGGATGTTAAATTGAGACAAAGTTCCATTACGTGTTTTCTGAAGTGGAAGGAGAAGAAGCTGGTTCCCAGAGGAGTGGGAATGTATTAAAAATGTTCCTGCAGTTTTAAAAACCTGCCCTCTACCAGCAGGACCATGTGCTTCCTGCTCAGACATTCAGTTTGGATGTGTGGCCCATTAGGAGATCAGTCCTTAAGTCCCTTACCAAGAGAGCTGTTGTCTCCTTCCGTTGAACTCCCGAGGAGGAGGAAAGTCAAACTATATTGACATAAATACCTTCAGAGAGGAAGGACCCGTTTAGAAAGGACAGAAAAGGTGCCAGAAAAACAAGACAGGTGGCAACCAAAAAGAAGGCACCAGGAAAATATTTTGGGCAAACTGAATTGCTTAATACTGGGGCCTAGAATCAGGGTGGAGAGTTTCTTTGCAGCTCATGGAACCTGAGATTCCCCCATCCCGCATCAGGACAGCCTCCTGAGTTGACTGCCATCATGTGTCTATGGCTAATCTGTTGGGATGTGATTGGGCATCTTGATTTTGTTTCTACTTCAGACTGTCTTGGGCAGGACAGACAGCTCTCTTAAGAAACCCCGATGGAGTGTCCTGTGGCTTTTCACAAATAGCTGTGTTTTATTACTATCCAACATAAAAAGATATGTCTAGCAAAGCAGATACACACATACAAGTGCAAATGAATGTCTTAATTAGTTCTACTCCTTCCTAATATAATTCTGTGAAACAGACCTTCTCTCTCTCTCTCTCTGGAAGTTCGTTCTCTTTCTTTAGATCTTGCCTGATATCTGATAGCTAAGTGTAACAGAAAGGGACAGTGAAAATTATGATGCAGTGACGGCCTAGGTGCGTATTGATTCAGACCCGCTGAGACCTGCCTCACATGATTCTGGTCACAGAACATCAGTAACACTAGCACCAGCAAATTAATCTTCTGGTAGATGAGAAACAGGTCTTTTGACTTGCGCTTGGAACTAGTTTTAGCTAAAGTACATGTGGGTTCACTCACGCCACCCTTTCAATTTACTAATAGTTTAAACCTGCACATTTACATGCAGCCTTTTGCAAACTACTGTAGGTAATTTTAAATTGGGCATGACTTTTATGTCGGGTATAAATATAACGCAAGGAGGCATTCAGCCCTGATGGTTAAGCTGAGAGAAGTCTGATACGATTAGGTGGAAGGGAGACATACCAGAATTGGTTTAGAGTAATCTTGAGTCTTGTCAGATAATAAACAAAAATCAGCTTATCCTGAGTGGCCTTTGGTTTGTACAGGCAGAGAATTAACATTGTCAATAGAATTTAAGTCACTCCAGTGAACTAATGGCATTTTGAAGAACATAAAATCAGATACCAGGGCAGGGGGTGGAAATGGCTCTAGGAAAAAGTCCATCGTAGGACACACCTAGGCTGAGAGTCTCCCGTGCCTGGGAAGGGAGGGCTTAATTTAATAAGCCACATTTAATGTATTTGAGGGCCACAAGCCTGTGATTATCTCATTTCTTTTACATATAATCTTGGGAGACTTCCTCAAGCTCTTCACTCCTAAATTTTACTTATTTTACTTCTGGGCCCTGAAAACAATGACTTCCTCTTCCCACCAGAGAAAGATAGGAAAAAGGAGGAAACTCAGCAGAAACCAACTTAATAGCCATTTTCCATATATGTGTAAACTGACATCATAATACTACACAGATTTAGGGGGTACACCAGGAGTTTCAATGCTATACCTGTCTACATTGTGTAATGGTCAAATCAGGCTGATTAACTTTACCTTAAATATTTAAATGTCCATCACCTTAAATATTTAACATTTCTTCATGGTGAAACATCCAAAGTTCTTTCTTCTAGCTGTCTTGAAATATGCAGGGCTTTACTGTCAACTCTTGTCACCCTGCTGCGCCACACCAGTACTCATTCCTCCTTCCCGAGAAACTTTGTCAC